TAATCATTTATTATTTTTCTATTATTATACATTTTTCTTCTTACACATATATACGAAACGAGAATGATTAAATACAAATTATTGAAAAATGGCTGTGGTTGGGGGGACTGAGGTGCCTTGTGCTCATAGTAACATAGAGGGTCTTTTTAGAATGGTTTATAAACAATTTTTTTAATAATAATTTACAGAATATGATGTAAGTATGTAAAAAACAAATTTTTGTTTTGATTTATACAAAACATGCTGTAAGTGCTCATAGTTGTGAATCCAAATAAGACCAGCCTAATCGGAAAATTGTGATGAATGGGGCCACTCAGGAGCCCCAAAAAATGCAGCATTTATTTGAGGATTGGGCTTATTCCCATGACCCATTTGATAGTTTTTTTTGAAAAATAATTTTGTTTCTCCCAATTTTTAATTTGATACCGTACATTTTTTCCTCTTAATCAAACATTTTAATTTTACTCTGTTAGTACCGGAGGCTAATCAAAATTATAGGTACCTATAGTTTTTCCTCTTAATCAATCACTAAATGTAAAAATTGAGAAAAATTATAGGCAATTGCAAAATATTTTTTTTTATATTTTTTAATAAACAAGAATATCTTTGTACTCAGAGTGAATTTGCTTAAGATAACATCAATCACTAAGGGGGTGTTTGGATAGAAACCAAACTATAGTTTCAAAAGTGTTTTTACAGTTTATGAAAAAAATATGTAAAGAAATTTATCTCGTTTTACAGAAAAATACTTCTGAAACCATGATTTGGAGGTTGCCAAACACCTCCTAAATGTCAGCACAGCTCTTTAAATGGAGGAGTAATCGTGGGAATCATCTGCCACGTGTTCCATCTCATACAGGTCCAAGTCCACCAGTTTTTTTGGCCTAGAATTTTCTTTGTTTTAACACCTGATGAATTTTCTACGTTTACAAATTAAATGTGAACCGCTGATCTAAAAAATTGGAAAATTGTTCAATCTCTTTTACCTAATGCACCCGTGCATTGATCAGTTTAATGATACTGCAAGAAAATAAATGACTGTGGTCAACATCAGAATGATTTAATAAATCCAAATTAACAAAAAAAAACGGCTTTTAAAAAAACTCTTCACAAAATTTGCGGGTATCTTGACTCATTAATCAGAGGTATCAAGTTCGATTCCCTGCTCCCGTTTGAGGTACCTTAGCCGGGTCGGGTCGGATTAGTCAGGTTCTAAATGCCACCTTTAATTATTAATATAAGAGTTAGTTAACTAATTTGAGTAAATTAAAGAAATTTATTAAGTTAGTTATTTGTAATAGTTAGGTGTTGTCTTCCCTAAAATATCATTGCTAATAATGTACTAGCTAAAACTGACATTTGATTGAATATTTAACATGTGCAAAACTACTTTGAAAAAAATGCATAAATATAAGAGATAAAGTGGATTGGTATCTTATATTTAAGACCAAATTAAAAACTAAACTAACTTTTATATTAAGTACTGGAGGTAGTAATAAGATTGATAGTTTCATCGTTACTTGAAAAAAAGAAGGGAAAATTAATCTTTTGGTTCTTCAAGTTTTAACTCACTTATAACTTAATTCTTTCAATTATGACTCGGTACAACTCAGTCTCTAAACTTTTAACTCGCTTATAACTCAATTTTTAATAATTTAATCCTTATCATATATAATTTGTTTTTAGTCATCAAATAATTATCTTACATGGCAACAAATATTATTTTATAACACTAAAAATTGCTGACATATCATCCAACGCAAGCTATACGTATTTAATATTTTTTTTTAAGGAAAAAAGACAGAGTTCGTCGTCTTTCCCCTCCAGTAGAAGTGAAAGAAACAACCCAGCTTCCATTCATGGTGCCTTGAAGGAAATACCAATCATGGCCAAGAACGAAGAGAGCCCAGAATAAGTGCCTTGATGCTATGTTTGGATGGAGAAAAAATAAGGGGGAAAGGAAAACTAGAAAGCAAAATGGGAGGAGAAATGGTTTTTTCCCTGTTTGGACGAGGAAAGAAAAGTGGAAGAGAAAATGAGGTGGGTTCCACATCCCATTTTCCTCCCAACTTTTCTCTCCATGTATAAAGAGAAAATAAAAAGAAAACATATTTTTTCTCTCTACCTTACATATGTTTTTTCAGCAAAATAATATCCATTTATTTTTTTCATTTTATTTATTATTATCAAGTTTTTCTTCTATGTTTGCTTCATTGAAAAATAAAATAACTAAAATGGCAAAAATCCTTTCAAAATGGTAAAGTCGTTATTTTGGTTTTTTTAGCATTACATTACGCAAAATATTATTTTTTTTCTTTTTTTATTACAAAATTATTTGATATTAAGATATAATAACATGATAATATATCTTCATCAAATAATTTGATTTTAAATTATATGATTAAGTTAATGTAAATACGGTTTTTCATTATGATATTTAATTTGATTTTAATCAAAATATATTTTGATATAACATAAAGGGTATTTTAGTCATTCATATATTTACTCGTTTTCTTTCTTTTTTGTTTTCTTTTTTCTATCTATACATGAAAGGTGATAATATTTTCTCTCCAATGTTCTCTTTTTTCTATTTTCTCTTCTCTTATTTTCTTTCTTCTCAACTTTTTTTTTCCATCCAAAAAGAGGGTAAAGGAGCCAATAAAGAGGTGAAGTCGTGAGCTGTGAAGTTTGGTGCCTGTAGTGAGCTGCGATTAGCCCAGCGTTCATAAAAGGAGATAAAGCAAAGGGCTGCAGAATTTTTGCAGAGCGTACTCAATTTGATGTTCTTTATCTTTTCTACTAACTCAAATAAGAAAACTCAATATAATAGATACCTCTAATATCTGCCGATTGGGAAACTTCATTTAGCAGTACAATTCTAATCCTTCAAATCCTCAATGATCCTTCTCTTTCTTTTTTTCGTGATTAACTTGAGAGGTAAAGGAATTTCTTCTAATTCATTTCTGTTTGATCATGATATTCCTAGTAAGGATGTTGCTTTTAACCTTGTGTTTTGCAGTTCGTTTTAGTCTGGGAGTGAAGTTCCCTCCTCCTTTCATTTCTACTGGATGGGGAAGACGACGAACTGTGCTTTTTTCCCCCTAAAAAAAATATTAAATACATATAAGTTGAGTTGGATGACATGTCAGCAATTTTTAGTGGTATTAAATGGTATTTTTTGCCATGTAAAATAATTATTTGATGACTAAAAACAAATTATATATGATAAGGATTAAATTTGAAAATATTAAAGACTGAGTCAAAAGTTTAGAGATTGAGTTGTATCGAGTTATAGTTGAGGAAATGAGTTAGAAATGGGTTAAAACTTGAAGGACTAAAAGATTAATTTTTTTTAAAAAAAAATTAATGTGTCATGTGATGCATAAGAATGTTTTGATAAATCCTATTAACAAATTATTTTACTTTTATATTTTTTTCAGTGCTTTTTATGTTTCAAAGTACAAATTAAATAGAAGAATTTATTTGATAATTATTTTTATTGCCACGAAAGACATTGAGATTTGATACGGAAAGTATGAGTCATTTGATTTAGTTAAAAATTTTGAAAATATACGTTGTTTAAAATTTTTAAATAGTTATTTTCATACGAAACCAACCTACATGGTTTGAAGATTAATTATTCAAATCAGATAAAAAATAGTAACATGCTTTAGTAATAGAGTTCATTTCACATTAATAAGAGTTGAATCTTTCATTTTATTTAAAGTAAATTAAATATCTTTTTTGGGTCAAAACTTCTGTTCAATCTGATTACGTTGAATTTGAACATCTTAAATTTTCCCACTCTCTTTTGGTCATCAGGCATTTTGTCTCACCTTAATTCCATTTCTCACATGTTTTTTTTTTTTGACAAAACATTTTTCACATGTTTTTTAAACCAACATTTCTCACATGGTTTAAAACATCAAAAATGGGGTGCTAATTATAATTATAAATAAAAGGATCAACAGTAAAAACTTAGTTGTCAATTGTCATTGCTAAAAGTGGAAACTCAAAATCCTTTTCAATGATTTGCTAAAAAAAATAAAATCTTTTCAATAAAGTTAACTATAAATCCTTATTGACGGATAAAAATGTTAATCTTAACCCACACATTTCAAGATTAATTAATAATCAATAAGTTTTGAGACCGAAAGTAAAAACAATTAAAATAAAATTTCCCTAAAATACTACAATTTATTATTTTTTTTATTAATAAAATTTTTTATGAAAATTTTCCCTCCATTTTCCCTTTTATTTTTTGGTCCAAAAATAGAAAAAATGGGATTTCTTTGAAACAAAAAGAACTTACCATTTGGGATTCGGCATTGACCCAACCATAACGATAAGAACAACATGAAACGACATGGCAACGTGGCAGGTGAAGACCGTTCAAAGTCGTTTGGCAAATTAATGAAGGGAGAATTACAACAAAATCCCATAAAAAAAAAATAATTGCCAAAAAATCTTAATAATAATTTTAACAGTTTGTAATAATAAGTTTTATAATAAAAATAACAACTTTTAGGTTTTGTTTTTTAATTATTTTTTTTATTTGGGACGAAAGATCTTTCGGACTCATACAGTTGGTTGGTCACCACCTCCTCTTCTCGTGATCTCCGCCGCATTTCCAACTCAGCATCGTGACCTCCGAAAACATTGCTCCAATCTCATCTCATCTCATTTTTTAATCTAATCCTAATCCGTTCCCTTTTTTTCTGTTTTGGCCAGCAATCTTAAATCCACTTCTCCAAATCTGAAAAGGGCAAGAGTCGGAATCGAAATCGTTAATGAGCTTTGAAATTTTTTGATTTTATAATTGGTCATAATTTGGTCGTTTCATCAGTTTGACGGAGAATGTAAAGGCCCCTGATTTATTGGAATTTCGCGTGGGGATAAGATGATAATTATTAATTAATTATTATTTCCGTTTCTGAAGTCCCAAGCAGCATTTTAAAGTCAACTATGTCAGAACGATTGTTCATATTTAAGCCTTAAGCCTTCGGAGGAGGAAGAAGATTATTGGGAAAAATGTCGAAAGAAGAAGCTTTCATTGGGTCGATTGATCAGGGAACCACAAGCACAAGGTTCATCATCTACGATCGCTCTGCTCGGGCAATCGCATCTCACCAGGTCGAGTTTGCTCAGCACTATCCAGAAGCAGGGTAAAACCATGATTCCTTCTCTTTCTTTCTCTCCCTTTCAATTCTGGTTTTCTGATAAGTTTGTGGTGGGGCGGTGTTAGATGGGTGGAGCATGATCCAATGGAGATTTTGGAGAGCGTCAGGGTGTGTATCACCGGGGCTCTCGACCAGGCTAAGTCCGAGGGGATCAACGTGGTCAAGGGATTGAAGGCAATCGGTGTGACCAATCAGAGGGAGACTACTCTGCTTTGGAGCAAATCCACTGGGATTCCTCTGTACAACGCTATCGTTTGGATGGATGCTCGTACCAGTTCTGTTTGCAGGTACTCCTTTGAATCTCTTCGTTTTTCGTCAAGAATTCTTTTTCTGATTAATTGCCATTCGTTAGATAATATAATATGTATGATCTTATCGAGTTATTTCTGGGTCGTATATGAGTTTTGGATTTTGACAACAACTTGGGATTGAATCAGTATTACAACTATGAAATTCTTATTGAGCGTGGTCCAATGAAGAGAGTGCGATTTTCAGATTGTCCGCCGTGGCCGTAGGAAATTACATATCGTGTGTATATATTGATATTCTTGCATCTTTGGAGCTGGCCTTTATTTTGTTTCGTAGTTTTTTTGGCATTTGTTATTTATCATTATCACAAAAAGACCCTGATTTTCTTGGATCATTGTTAAACAGGAAACTGGAGAATGAGTTATCAGGTGGCAGAACCCATTTTGTGGAGACTTGTGGTCTGCCTATAAGCACTTACTTCAGTGCCACTAAACTGTTATGGTTGATGGAAAATGTGGAAGCAGTGAAGGAAGCGATTAAGAAAGGAGATGCTCTCTTTGGAACTATCGACACTTGGTTGATATGGAACCTAACTGGTGGGGTGAAGGGAGGATTGCATGTCACTGATGTTTCAAATGCATCGCGGACAATGCTGATGAATCTTAAGACTCTTGACTGGGATGAGTCCACCTTAAAAACCCTGGGCATTCCTGCGGAAATTCTGCCAAAGATTGTAAGTAATTCTGAAATCATTGGAAAGATTTCTCCGGGATGGCCAATCACCGATATCCCAATTGCTGGGTGTTTAGGTGATCAACATGCTGCCATGGTAGGACAAGCTTGCCGAAAAGGAGAGGCTAAAAGCACATATGGTACTGGTGCTTTCATACTGCTAAACACTGGCGAAGAGATAGTTACATCAACACATGGTCTTCTGACAACTTTGGCCTTTAAGCTTGGTCCGAATGCTCCTGCAAATTATGCACTGGAAGGATCAATTGCCATTGCTGGAGCTGCAGTGCAGTGGCTAAGGGATAGCCTTGGTATTATTAGTAGTGCTAAGGAGATAGAGGATCTGGCTTCACAGGTTGAGTCCACAGGTGGAGTTTATTTTGTTCCTGCTTTTAATGGATTGTTTGCTCCGTGGTGGCGTGATGATGCTCGAGGGGTTTGTATTGGAATTACAAGGTTTACAAGCAAGGCTCACATTGCCAGAGCTGTGCTTGAAAGCATGTCTTTTCAAGTGAAAGATGTCTTGGATTCAATGAAGAAAGATTCTGAGGAAACTGATAAAGATAAGAAAGAAAAAGAGGAATTCTTGCTCAGAGTGGATGGTGGCGCAACTGTTAACAACCTTTTGATGCAGATTCAGGTTTGGATGTGTTTCTTCTAATATGTGTGCACATTTATGCAGAACTTGCTGCCCTGTTTTTATGCCTTTCCTTCCACGGGCCCTGTCTTTTATGTCACAAGTGGAGCTTTGGTATTGATTCTGACTATGAAATTTTATTGCGCATTCATTTTTGCATCTCTTATGCAACACATGCTTGATTTGTTCGGATCACATGTTTCAGATTTATTTTGTAAGTGTATAATGCAGATAGCTGACTCCCTGCAAATTATAAATGAATTGAGTAATGAAGAAAAGACGTATCATGGAACTTTTATGATGTTTGGCTAACATGAGGAATATCTGTTTCATAAATTACTGACAATCTTTCTAATAATAGTTTGTTGGAAATATCTTCTAACTGAGACTTCTGATGCTGCATTCTACTAATTAGTAAAACTTTACTGTTCTATAGGCAGACTTGTTGGGAAGTCCGGTGATTAGACCAGCCGACATAGAGACAACAGCACTTGGCGCGGCCTATGCTGCCGGATTAGCTGTCGGAGTTTGGAAAGAGGAGGAGATCTTTGCTTCTGGTGAGAAGGTAAAGACCTCAACTGTTTTCCGTCCAGTATTAGCTGAGCAACTGAGGAAGAAGAAAGTGGAATCTTGGTGCAAAGCAGTAACCAGAACATTTGACTTGGCTGATCTTTCTCTTTGATTGTTTCTACTCATTGCTGTCAATTTAATGCGCTTCAGCTTCCTCATCTCTCCATTTTTTCTCGCATTCTATTACATACATATGGCATGTTACATCGTTAATTATACCTGTACACTTGTCTGAATGGCTACAGCAACCAATACAAACTAATAATGTCATTACGTATGGCATGTTACTTCGTCAATTCCAATCTTGTACACTTTTCTGAGCCGGCTGTAGAAATGAACAGAAACCAAGATGAAATGAATAATTATGGTATAAAATGTTATTTGCTTAAGGTATAAAAGATTTGGATGATGAAAACAAGGAACAACATACGCGTATATTTAAATTGGCACTGTAATTAAGATAAACCAAAGTGCTCAATTTGTCAAAAGTCCCAAACTTAGAAGCATAACTAGATGGGCTGTGGTTATATTGGTTCTATATTTGGTCAGTTCTGTTTTAATCATTATTTTATCTTAGGATGGGCTGAATCAGACATTAATTACACTCTTATTTCACCTTTATCACCATCTCTAGGTGGCCCTACTTAGTAATTCATGCTTAATTAAGGTTGGAATTATACCGCTGTCTGGCACACACACACAACCGACCAAGTATTAATCAATTTCTATTATTAGCCGGACAATATATGCCGTTAAAGTGTTTCAAGGAAATGGCATGGGCTCAAAATTGGGAGTTTCTTAGGAATATGTATAGCCCATCCTAGGCCTAGCAAACTAATTCTAGGCCCACAAACTATTCAAAGAATAGGTGATAAAATAAACGACTTTTTCTTTTTTGGTTACAAAAATAAACGACTTTAATCAATGGGGTTAGTTGCTCATTAAATCCTAGTAAAAGAAGCGTCTACATTTAATATCCAATAGTATCTTAAATAGGAGTGTTTTTAATAGGAAGATATTTATACCTAACAAAAAATTCTTAAAATATGAGCAATTTTTTCATGACGATTTGATTAGGTCAAATTCAATCATTACTGGATCTAATTAAGAGCAGATTTCTCAAAAGATTTTTTCTGCATTCAAACTTAAACTCAATCTATTTTCTTAGACCAATAAAACTTCAGTGAGGATGAAATAAAGTAAAAAAAATACAATTATTTTAACCAAATTGGATTGTATACTCGTTGAACCACTTGTGGGGGCTTTTAAAATTTTTTATGTAGATACAATTTGAAAATACGCTTTTTTTATATAAAGGAAAATTTTTTCCAGACTTCTATAAGGAAAAATATACTTTATTTGCTATTGACGTAATAGCTGTAGGTTATTTCTTGAAAAAGAAAAAAAAAACAGATAAGAAAGGTGACTAGTCAAACAGTAACGTGGTGTCATATGCATGAATATAGTAAATTTTAAACAATGCTTAATTTTTGGTTAAAAAACTTGATTCCATAAATAGGGTTAGGATGTGCCTCCAATCAATTTTTAAAACCATACGCTGATGTCTAACTCGGTCTCGTCCAGTCTTTGTGCAGCCTTGCAAGTGATTAATAATAAGGATAAGAATAATATAAAAAAAAAACTAAGAAAATATCCATGTAATTTTAAAATTACTTTACTTTCATTTACCAGAAAAATGGGGTAATCAAAAAACTTAATGTAATTCATATTCTCTTTAATCACAAAAACCATTAATATCTTTTTGATATGTTATAAAAGATTTGAACCTTAATTTAACCCTACATCTCAACCACCCTTACCACAATATTAAGTGCCTGTTTGGATCAGCATTTGCTGGTCCAAACATAGCTTAAATTTGAAGATAAGCCCGATTGAAGATGGTGTGATGTTTGGTGGGGCTTATAATGTATTGGGCTTATTGGATTTTAAGTTGTCTAAACAAGCGGTTGGAATAAGCTAGGAGGGGAAAGTTTATTTTTTTATACCTGTTTTGCAAGTGTGTCAACCGCGTTTTATTTTTCTCTCCCATCTACCATATTTCTACAAGCACACGGCAGGCGTTGTCTATATCCCCATCTTGGTGACGCCACGTGGCAACTAAAGATCCATTTTATTTATTTTTTTAAAATAAAGGTGAGACTGAGATTTATTTTGTTAGAAGAGAATTGAAATTAATAACTCATAAAAATATTAATAAAAAAAGAGAAAGTTTAGAAATCAAAATGTTGAATTTGCAGTTATAAAATTTAATTCTCGACTTCTTCATATTAAATTATTTTAATTTCATTGTATTATGTAAAATCATTTTTTTAAATCATGTTTCATTATTTATTAAAACCCATACCCATTTTGGTTATTTTACAATCAAACTTACTTTTATTCAATTATAATCCAAACAACTTTTTACCAATCTCATTTTTACAAACTAACTTTTCCAAACTCCAATCCAAACACAATTCAGCTTATCCAATTTAACTTTTACCCAACTTCACTTTTTCAAAAGTCAAATTGATAATAAGTTACTTTTTCAATCGCTAATCCAAACGGACCCTAAGTTGCTACAAAGCCAGTATATATATGTGTGTGTTTCATACTTGCATCTGAAAATGAAATATAAACAATAAATTGAAAATAAATTTGATACACATCTGCATCACTTCATAAATCTTTTCTCTTCCCCCAATGTATCCTTCTCTAACCCTAGCAAACTTAATTTAAGCATGATTAATAAAAGAGTAAATTATCTAGAGAGAGGAAAAAAATATAAGATAATCTCTTTAATTATGTATTTAGAGATGGACACTTGCCACCCAAAGCGCGTTCAAGAGGCAAGAGTGAGGTATGGTAGAGTGGAAAGAATTCAAATTTCTCTTTATGCAATAAACTAATAATATATTTTACTATTGTATTTACCTACTTATTGTTTTTTTATTCTTTTTCAAATATTGTATAAGATTAGATTAGATTAGATTTGGAATTGGAAACATTCAATGATTGGAGGCATCTACGGAGGACAGTATGATTTCCCAACAAGACTCTATATGAGCACAAAATGAAAAAGTGGTGTGTTAACTAACTAGCAAGACTCAACCAACACTACTACTAATGAGAGAAAAAGACAAATGTGGATCAATTAATGGCTAATTTGAAGAAGGTTTTAATTATTGATATAAGAACTGCTTCGTGACATGATTTTTCTAAAATATCTCCATATAAAATTAGGGTATGTACCAATTTACGAGCTAAATTAATTAGTTTTGAAAAAAATTATATATATGATAGATAAAATAGACTAGTATTTTACTACCTCTGGTTCTATTATAAGAGCTAGTTGACTAATTTGAGAAAATTAAAGAAAGAAGTTAAGTTAGTTATTTGTCATAAATATGTATTGTTTTTCTTAAAATATTCTTACTAATCAAATGTATTGGCTAGAACTACTATTGTTAAAAGGACTATCTTAGAAAAAAAATGTATAAATATTAGAGACAAAGTAGATTGGGGCCTTATATTTATATTCAAAATAAAAGTCAAACGAGGTCTTATATTAAAGATCGGAGGTAGTAAATTTTATAATCAAGTTTAAACTCTCAACTAACTTCTATATCAGGAACCAAAAAAATATAAAGGTACAAATTCTGTTATCATAGCGGATAGAATTTTGTGTTGGGGAGGGCAAGGGATATTATTACAATCTCCACTATTAGCGCATGAGAGCAGATTTATGTATTAATAATACTCTTCCCTCTTATCATTGAAAATCAACCTTGTCATGTGCTTTGTCCTCCACTGTGCCTAGTCATTTGTAGGAGTTTCTCATATAAAAAGAGTATTAAATCGATAAAATCTTACTCTTTTATTTTTATCAAAGAGTTATGGATGTTGGGGAAAAAATAGGAGTTAATTAATTTTTTATTATAATAAATAGGAGCAAAATTAAAAAAGAAGCATTAAATAAGGTACAAGTGACTTACATTTGGGACCAAAATCTCCTCCTACAAGTGACTAACAATAAGGACAAGAGTGATATATATTTATTTTGAAATAAATGATAAATTAGACAAATTTCTTAAGAATTACGTTGAAATTACATAATCTTTTTCTGAGAAATAAGGAAGTTCTACAATTTTACCAAAAATTAAAGGCTCGTATTATTTTTCCAAGACTACTTTGTAATTTTTTTAAAAAATAAAAAAAAAGTAATTTAATCTAATCTCAATAGAAATTCATACATTTTACTCAATATGTTATTGCTTCGAGCCCTTCAAGCTAATGCCAGTAATAATAAGTAGTAAACTTCAAAAGTGAATAGTGAATTTTCAATAACTGAGATAATTTATGCCGTCATGATTGTTTTTTCTATTCATAATATTCGAGTTGAGAAGTTTGATTAATGTGCGTAGAATGCTTTGCCATTTCAACCTAAATGCCATTATATGGTTTTGATTTTTCAACTATAAGATCAAAAGGAAAAAAATCTATTAATTATTTGAATTATGGCACATGATTAGGATGTTACGTAAATTTCAAAGTAGTGAGAGACTCAAACTATATATCGTCACTTAGTCTTGCTCAATCCTAGACAGGTTGCTTCGTAAAGATTTCCATTTACATGAAACAAAGAAGCACAATTTTGACTTCTTGCAAATTTTGTTTTCCACGGTATTGGAATTTCATGATTTGCGTGTCTATGATGCTGTATATAAATCATTTTAAACTAATTTTTAAAAATATTTTAAGAATAATATTCTTAAAATGAAGCTAATTGGTCGTTATAGTCTCTTTAGTTGAATGCGTGGCAAGTTTTTTTTTTTTTTGGGTCTTTGTCCTCCAAAGAATACGTAATAGTTGCTTCACGAAATTTATTATCAAAATTTGGGAGATAAGAAACATAGCATGTTGATAGGACTGACGTGTCATTTCTTTCTCAAACATAATCAACGAGAGCATATTTAGGGTTGGCATTGCGATTTTTTTGGGTCAATGTTTGAAATTGCGACGGGAGTTTTCAAAATTAAAGCAGCATTTTAATTATAATTTATAATATACAAAGTAAATATATAAAAAAAATTATATTTAAATTTGTATAAACATGCTTATAATAAACAGTTCCAAACAAGCACTCATTGGGACGATACTTATGTCAAGTTCATAAGTATAAATTTATAAGCGCACACACACATTTTAATAACTAATATTAGTAAAATAATAAGTATTCAAATGAAATTTATCAAAAATTATATGCTCTTCCGGTGTTAAATATAAGACCCAATTTATAATGTGATTTATATTGTAAAATGAGTCTTATATTTAGAATCGAAAAGAGTATTATAGGAATTGATATAAAAATAGAA